GAGGGTGAGCCTGGAGTTCATAGGTGAGGGGACCCAGGCTGGAAATGAAGGAGGAGGTGGAGTGAGGGTGGGCAAACCTGGCCTGTCCTGTTCTTCAGGTATGGCTTCTCCCACTTCCATTCGTGAATCACTGCCTGGACAACTTTCTCATCTCCCTGCAAGGAGGGAAGTCCAGTCACCTTTCAGCATGCCTCTTCCCCCTGAGGCCAGGTGCTACCTCCTTGCTCCCCCCATCCCTGCCACAGGAACCCTCCACCCACCCCTGCGCCCCTTACCTTGAGCAGGTCCAGCAGCTTTAGTTCCAGTGCCTTAGTCTCCTCGCGGAGCTGACTGATGGTCTCCTGGTTCTTCTTAATGTTCCACTGAGAGCTCTCAAAAAAAGCCTTCCGGTCACCCTCTGGCAGGCAGGGGAAGTGGACAGACACACAGTTACTGGGAGGGTGGCTGGGTGGGTGCAATATCCCAGAGGGAAGACCTTTTTTGCAATCATCAACTTTTTTTTTTTGAAACAGAGTTTCGCTCTTGTTGCCCAGGCTGGAGTGCAATGGTGCAATCTCGGCTCATCACAGCCTCTGCCTCCCGGGTTCAAGAGATTCTCCTGCCTCAGCCTCCCAAGTAGCTGGGATTACAGGCATGTGCCACCACACCTGGCTAATTTTGTATTTTTAGTAGAGACGGGGTTTCACCATGTTGGTCAGGCTGGTCTCGAACTCCCGACCTCAGGTGATCTGCCCGCCTCGGGCTCCCAAAGTGCTGCGATCACAGGCGTGAGCCACCGCGCCTGGCCTCATCAACTTAATATTGTAAGAATGCAATCGTCGATCAGCCTGAGCCTGGCCAACGTGGTAAAACCCCGTCTCTACTAGAAATACAAAAATTAGCCAGGTGTGAGGCTGGGCACAATGGCTCTTTCCTGTAATCCCAGCACTTTGGGAGGTAGAGGTGGGCGGATCACCTGAGGTCATCCGCCTGAGTTCAAGACCAGCCTGGCCAACATGGTGAAACCCCGCGTCTACAAAAATTAGCTGGGCATGATGGCAGGTGACTGTAATCCCAGCTACGGGAGGCTGAGGCACGAGAATCACTTGACCTCCGGAGGTGGAGGCTGCAGTGAGCCGAGATCCTGCCACTGCACTCCAGCCTGGGCAACAGAGCAAGACTCCATCTCAAAACAAACAAACAAACAAAAAAAAAAAACCCCTGTCCCTGGGTATACTCAGATAATTGGTTCCAGGATCCGAGTATACCAAAATCCTTCCATACTCAAGTCCTACAGTCAGCCCTGTGGAAACTGCAGATACAAACGGTTGTCCCTCTGTATACTCAAGTTTTGCATCCCATGACTGTTGTATTTTCTTTTCTTTTCTTTTTTGGGACTGGGTCTTGCTCTGTCACCCAGGCTGAAGTGCAGTGGTGCTATCATTGCTCACTGAAGCCTCAACCTCCTGGGCTCAAGCAGTCCTCCTGCCTCAGCCTCCCAAGTAGCTAGGACTAGAGGCATGTGCTACCACATCCAGCTACTTTATTTTTTGTAGAGTCAAGGGTCTATGTTGCCCAGGCTGGTCTCGAACTCCTGGCCTCTAGCAATCCTTCTGCCTCAGCCTCCCAAAGTGCTAGGATTACAGGCATGAACCACCACACCCGGCCTGCCCATCTCAATTTTTTTAAACTTGAAAGGATGAATGATATACATGAACACATGGTGTTCAAGGATCAACTGTACTTCACTTTGAGCATTTATTATGTTTTGGATGTTGGACTAAGAGGTTTCCAAATGCCATATATCATGTGCCAATAGGTATCCATATGCATAGGCATATCATACGCCTTGCACAGATGAGAAGACAGAGGCTTGGGCTGATTAAATTGCTTAAGGTCACAAGCAATCATGCAAGATTACCCTTTTTTTTTTTTTTTTTTTTGAGACGGAGTCTCACGCTGTTGCCCAGGCTGGAGTGCAGTGGCGCGATCTCGGCTCACTGCAAGCTCCGCCTCCCGGGTTCCCGCCATTCTCCTGCCTCAGCCTCCTGAGTAGCTGGGACTACAGGCGCCCGCCACCGTGCCCGGCTAATTTTTTGTATTTTTAGTAGAGACGGGGTTTCACTGTGGTCTCGATCTCCTGACCTTGTGATCCGCCCGCCTCGGCCTCCCAAAGTGCTGGGATTACAGGCGTGAGCCACCGCGCCCGGTCTTTTTTTTTTTTTTTTTTTGAGACGGAGTCTCGCTCTGTCGCCCAGGCTGGAGTGCAGTGGCCGGATCTCAGCTCACTGCAAGCTCCGCCTCCCGGGTTTATGCCATTCTCCTTTCTCAGCCTCCCGAGTAGCTGGGACTACAGGCGCCCGCCACCTTGCCCGGCTAGTTTTTTGTATTTTTTAGTAGAGGCGGGGTTTCACCGTGTTAGCCAGGATGGTCTCGATCTCCTGACCTCGTGATCCGCCCGTCTCGGCCTCCCAAAGTGCTGGGATTACAGGCTTGAGCCACCGCACCCAGCCTTTTTTTTTTTTTTTGAGATGGAGTCTCGCTCTGTCGCCCAGGCTGTAGTGCAGTGGTGCGATCTCGGCTCACTGCAGGCTCCGCCTCCCGGGTTCACACCATTCTCCTGCCTCAGCCTCCTCAGCAGCTGGGACTACAGGCGCACGCCGCCACGCCCCGCTAATTTTTGTATTTTTAGTAGAGATGGGGTTTCACTGTGTTAGCCAGGATGGTCTCGATCTCCTGACCTCGTGATCCGCCCGCCTCGGCCTCCCAAAGTGCTGGGATTACAGGCGTGAACCACCTCGCCCAGCCATGATTACCTCTTAATAATATCAACAAAAACAATAATAATGGCTTATACACAAGGATTCTGCAACCTCAGGATGACCAACTGGGCCGAATAATTATTTGCTGTGGGGAGCTCTCCTGTGTTTTGTAGCATGTTGGGCAGCACCTTCACCTCTGCCCGCTAGATGCCAGTGGAAGACACACACCCACAACAGACATGCCTGCCACCACGCCTGGCTAATTTTTCGTATTTTTAGTAGAGACGGAGTTTCACCGTGTTGGCCATGCTGGTCTCAATGTCTTAGGACATTGCCAAATGGCCACTGTGGGGCAAACTAACCCTTTTCTAACAAGAACCATTGGTTTACACCTTATGGTACTTTGCTATGTGCCAGGCACTGTTCTAAGTACTTAACACAATTGAGGTACCTATGTTGTACCGTTACTATCCCCATTTCACACATGGAGAAACTGAGAACAATTAGGTTACTCTTAGTCCCCCAAGGCTGACAACTATTATGCAGAGTCAGGATTCCAACCCAGAAAATCTGGCTCTAAAATCTATGCTCAGGCCAGGTGCGGTGGCCCATGCCTATAATCCCAGCACTTTGGGAAGCTGAGGAGGAAGGATTGCTCAAACCCAGGAGTTCGAGACCAGCCTGGGCAGCATAGTGAGACCCCATCTCTACAAAAAGTAAGAAAATTAGCCAAGCACAGTGACATATGCCTGTAGTCCCAGCTACTCAGGAGGCTGAGGTGGAAGGCTCGCTTGAGCCCAGCTATTATCGAACCACCGCACTCCAGCCTGAACAGCATAGCAAGAACCTGTCAGAAAGAAAGAAGGCTGGGGGTAGTGGCTCACACATGTAATCCCAGCACTTTGGGAGGCCAAGGCCGGTGGATCACTTGAGATCAGGAGTTCGAGACCAGCCTGGCCAACATAGTGAAATCCTGTCTCCACTAAAAATATAAAAATTAGGTGTGGTGGCATGCACCTGTAGTCCCAGCTAGTCAGGAGGCTGAGGCAGGAGAATTACTTGAACCTGGGAGGCAGAGATTGCAGTGAGCCGAGATCACGCCACTGCTCTCCAGCCTAGGCAACAAAGCAAGACCCTGTCTAAAAAAAAAGAAAAAAAAAAAAAAGGCCGGGTGCAGTGGCTCACACCTGTAATCCTAGCCAGCACTTTGGGAAGCTGAGGTGGGCGGATCACGAAGTCAAGAGATTGAGACCACCCTGGCCAATATGGTGAAACCCCTTTGTACTAAAAACACAAAAATTAGCTGGGCATGGTGGCGCGTGCCTGTAGTCCCAGTTACTCTGGAGGCTGAGGCAGGAGAATTGCTTGAACCTGGGAGGCGGAGGTTGCAGTGAGACCAGATCGTTCCACTGCACTCCTGCCTGGCAACAGAGTGAGATTTCTGCCAAAAAAAAAGAGAGAGAGAGAGAAAATAAATTACAGGAAAGTATGAAGTACAGTTCATTCGGTTCTGAACTCATGAGAAGTTTAGAGAGAGGATGAAAAACATGAATCAAGTATGAGTTTTTGCCCAGAAACTGTTCACCTAGACTCATGCTGGAGAAATACCTTTGTCACACCATGCCTGGTCAGAAGATTGGATGGGCACTGTTGACCCCTGACCCTCTGTACCCTCTGGAGCCATCTTACCTAACAGTTGTATCTTTTTATGTAACTCAGCCACCTGAGCGTGCACAGAGGGCTTCCCGGCATCTCTGTGGAAGGATCCTCCCTTGGAACGGCCGGGGGGCCAGGCCTGGGCTGCTCCCTTGCCTCGGAGGTGGCTGGGTTTGCCCGAAGCCTCCCTGCCCTTGACCTTGGAAGAGGGCGTCGAAACCTGGTCCTGAGGAGGCAGGGCGTTGGCGGAGGCCGCCCTGCACAGGGGAGATGTCATGATGGGGTTGGGGCCGAAGGCCCCTAGGGGTTATGGGGACAACTAGGAGTCAGTCGCTCCTGTCAGGGATCCGTCAGCTCGGATTCCTAGGGCTCTGAAAAATGCACTTTCCTACCGCTAGGTGGTTGCTCTCCGCATCTCTCGGTTGCTAGGTAACCGCCTCCCGTCGCCCTCCAGTGTTTCCATGGAGACCACCCGCGTTCCGTGGCTGACAGTGCGTTCTCATTGGCTGAGGCTGCATAGAGGGGCGGTCCCAACAGAGGGGCGGGGCAGAGCCGCGCTACAGGACAGACGATCTGGGCACTTTGGGGTCACGTGCTCATTCCGTTTCCTTACCCCCGTCCCCCGCAACCTTATCCCGCCCCTGGGGGTTCGTGCGCATTTTTCAGGAACTTTCTTTCCGGCTTGAGAAGCCGCCACTCCCAAGATGGAGGTACGTTGCGCCGCCATTAAGAGCTAGCCCTCAGAACCATCCTAAGGCTTCACAGTCCTGCCCAAGATGGCCGTCTCGGCTTTGGCACCGCCCCTACTCCTGACTCTCCCAACATGGCTACCCTGACTCCCCGTTCGCGGTGCGGGACATACGACCGGAAGTGACGGGTCCAGACAGTTCCGCTTTCTTTCTGCAGCAGGAACCGTGGCTGCCGGTCAAGAGGGGCGCGGTGGATACTGACCTTTGCTCCGGCCCCGTGTAGGTGTGAACGAGCGGGTGGGAGGGCACCTCAGTTTCCTGCAGGGGGCAACCGGAGGGTGCATATGTGGGTGTGGACGGCGGAAACTGTTAATCCCTTTGGCCCGTTGGCGGGAATTGGGTCACAATTGGGCACAGGGAGCGGAGGTTTTGAGATCTTGAGATCCTCGCCATTGATTTGAGCAAAGTGAGACTGGCCAGGATTGGGGAGATCGCTGCCCCTCGCCCCCATATCGGAAACAAAGTGAGGCCTCATTGCCTGGAAGCCATGGAGGAATCCAATTGGCTGGAAGTAGCCCTCTCCCACTGACCGGGATCCCCTTTCTTCCTGCAGCGTGAAGACACAGCGCGTCTTCCCGCTGTCAGCTTCCTCCCACAGAACCCGTTTCGGGCCTCAGAGCCTCTGGCGAGATGCTGCTGCCGCTCCTTCTGCTGCTACCCATGTGCTGGGCCGTGGAGGTCAAGAGGCCCCGGGGCGTCTCCCTCACCAGTGAGTCCTCCTGTTCACCCTCCCGCCAGGCTGGAGGTGGGAGGGGCCAACATTGGGCCTTGGGGATAGGCATTTACAACCTTTTGCCTCAGTTTCCCGGTAGTGCTCCGCTGGTGGGGGTGGGAGGACAGAGGTGGTATTTGATGGAGAAGGCGCTTTCCTGCCCTGGGCTGAGCTTCCTGCACCCCACAGATCATCACTTCTATGATGAGTCCAAGCCTTTCACCTGCCTGGACGGTTCGGCCACCATCCCATTCGATCAGGTCAACGATGACTATTGCGACTGCAAAGATGGCTCTGACGAGCCAGGTGAGCCTTTTCTCTGTTCATCCATCAGATATTTATTGAACGCTGCTCATTGCCAGGCCCTGTCTGTGTGACCAAGATACTCCCTATGCTGACTCCCCCTTGAGTGGGCAGAAACAAGCCCAGCAGTCAGTAGTCAGTGGTCAGTGGTCAGTCTTATGGCCCCGGGCAGCTGGAGGAGCCCAGAGTCCTCCTACTCCCAAGCCTAGGGGTCAGAAAAGGCTCCTCCAAGGAGGTGAGGTTTCAGTTAAATCCCGAGGGTGCTGCAGATGGAGGGGCCAACATGGGCAAACCCCTGGAAGTGGGAGACAGGGTGGGGCCAAGAGCAATCCAGCAGGAGACAGAGGTGAAGGGAAACCCTGGCTTTTTGTTTTTCTGTTTTTTGAAGAGACAGAGTCCTGCTGTGTTGCCGAGGCTGGAGTACAGTGGCATGATTGTAGCTCACTGCAGCCTGGAACTCTTGGGCTCAAGTCATCCTCCTGCCTTGGCCTTCCAAAGTGCTGGGGTTACAGGTGCAAGCCACCGTGCCTGGATGAGGCCGTTTTGTTTTGAATTTTCTTTGAGATGGAGTTTCACTCTTATCGCCCAGGCTGGAGTGCAGTGGCACGGTCTTGGTTCACTGCAACCTCCGCCTCCCAGGTTCAAGCGATTCTCCTGCCTCAGCCTCCTGAGTAGCTGGGATTACAGGCGCATGCCACCATGCCCAGCTAATTTTTCGTATTTTTAGTAGAGACGGGGTTTCACCATGTTGGCCAGGCTGGTCTCAAACTCATCACCTCAGGTGATCCACCCATCTCGGCCTCCCAGAGTGCTGAGATTACAGGCGTGAGCCACAGCGCCAGGCAGAGACCCTATTTTGAAGGACCTCAGTGAGACGAGGCAGGAGGCAGCGCTGGAAAGCTTTGTTTCAAGCCCGGGGTGTGCCGGGTACAACTCTTCCCTTCCTTTGGTCCTTATGTTTCTCGTGCTCTCTGTGTGCAGGGTGGGTCGGGGGCTCTTGTCTGTGGATGGATGGGACACGTCTGGCCATCACCTGACTGAAAACCTTCCCTCCCTTCTTCCTCACAGGCACGGCTGCCTGTCCTAACGGCAGCTTCCACTGCACCAACACTGGCTATAAGCCCCTGTATATCCCCTCCAACCGGGTCAACGATGGTGTTTGTGGTAAGTGACGATGCACCAGGATTCTGGAAAGGTGGTAGAGGGAGGGAGGGTGGAGGCACTGCCAGGTCTGATCTCGGCTTCTGCCTCTGCCACAGACTGCTGCGATGGAACAGACGAGTACAACAGCGGCATCGTCTGTGAGAACACCTGCAAGTATGTGGGTGACAGTACCCCTCCCATCACCCCACTCCACTACTTTGCCTGGCTCCACTCAGTGAATCAGGCCCGCTCTCTCTCTGCTTTTCTGTATCGGGTGCTCTGTCTGTGCCAGGTGCCTTGTAAATCCTAATCCCCACCTTTCCCTCTAGTCTGGAAGCAGGTAGGATTGTTTCCCAATTCAACAGATGGGGGAACTCCAGTTTAGAAAGGGAAATGCGGTGGCTCCAGCCTGTAATCCCAGCACTTTGGGAGGCCGAGACGGGTGGATCACGAGGTCAGGAGATCGAGACCATCCTGGCTAACATGGTGAAACCCCGTCTCTACTAAAAATACAAAAAAAAAAAAAACTAGCCGGGCGAAGTGGCGGGCGCCTGTAGTCCCAGCTACTAGGGAGGCTGAGGCAGGAGAATGGCGTAAACCCAGGAGGCGGAGCTTGCAGTGAGCCGACATCCGGCCACTGCACTCCAGCCTGGGCGACAGAGCGAGACTCCGTCTCAAAAAAAAAAAAAAAAAAGTAAGGGAAATGACTTCCCCAGGGTCACATAGGAGAGAGGAGAGCTGGCTCTTGGACTCTAAACTTTCCATTGTCACAATCTGCAGCAGGCCCTGAAAACTTACACACCCACAGGCAGATAAAGTATACAACAGAAGGAGGCCGGGCGCCGTGGCTCACGCCTGTAATCCCAGCACTTTGGGAGGCTGAGGCGGGCAGTTCACGAGGTCAGGAGATCCAAACCACGGTGAAACCCTGTCTCTACTAAAAATACAAAAAAATTAGCCGGGTGTGGTGGCAGGTGCCTGTAGTCCCAGCTACTCGGGGGTGCTGAGGCAGGAGAATGGCATGAACCTGGGAGGCGGAGCTTGCAGTGAGCCGAGATCGCACCACTGCACTCCAGCCTGGGCGGCAGAGCGAGACTCTGTCTCACACACACACAAAAAAAAGTATACAACAGAAGGAGACCGAGTATGAGACAATAAGGAGGGATGGGGATTGTGGCATCTAGAGGAACAGCTGTTCTCAATTCCTGCCAACTGATCCTTTTATAGTTCATAAGCACGATGATTTATTTTTATTTATTTATTTATTTTTGAGACGGGGTCTCACTCTGTCGCCCAGGCCGGAGTGCAATGGCGTGATGTCAGCTCACTGCAAACTCTGCCCTCTGGGTTCAAGCAATTCTCACGCCTCAGCCTCCCAAGTAGCTGGGAATACAGGTGTGCCCCACCGTGCCCGGCTAACTTTTGTATTTTTAGTAGAGATGGGGTTTCACCATGTTGGCCAGGCTGGCCTCGAACGCCTGACCTCAGGTGATCTGCCCACCTCAGCCTCCCGCTGAGGTGCTAAGCCACTGCGCTTGGCCACGATGATTAGTTTTTTATGCACGTGTGAGAGATGTGCCTCCCTTAAACCTTGTTGTGACCTTGGCACATTACCTGTCTGACATGAAAAAATAAAAATAAGGCCCGGCTCATGGTGGCTCATGCTTATAATCCCAGTGTTTTGGGAGGCCGAGACAGGAAGATTGCTTGAGCCCAGGAGTTTGAGACCAGCCTGGGCAAAAGAGCGAGACCCTATCTCTGTAAGAAGTAAAAAAAAAATTAAAAGTAAAAATAAAAATTGGAAATTATAATTTAAAAAATTACTGGTTGGGCATGTGGCTCACACCTGTAATCCCAGCACTTTGGGAGGCTGAGGCAAGAGGATCACCTGAGCCCAGGAGTTTGAGACCAGCCTGGGCAACACAGTGAGACCCATCTCGCTGAAAAAATATTTTTTTTTGAGACAGAGTCTAACTCTGTTGCCCAGGCTGGATGGAGTGCAGTGGTGCCATCTCAGCTCACTGCAGCCTCTGCCTCCCGGGTTCAAGCGATTCCTCTGCCTCAGCCTCCTGAGTAGCTGGGACTACAGGCACCCATCACCACACCTGGCTAATTTTTGTATTTTTAGTAGAGACAGTGTTTCATCATATTGGCCAGGCTGGTCTTGAACTCCTGACCTCGTGATCCACCCACCTTGGCCTCCCAAAGTGCTGGGATTACAGGCTTGAGCTACCGTGCCCGGCTTCCACATCTGTTAAGTAGAAGGTGGATTGAACACAACCAACAGACTTTGTTTTTTTTTTTTTTTGAGACGGATTCTCGCTCTGTTGCCCAGGCTGGAATGCAGTGGTGTGATCTCCGCTCACTGCAAGCTCTGCCTCCCGGATTCATGCCATTCTCCTGCCTCAGCCTCCTGAGTAGCTGGGACCACAGGTGCCCCCCACTATGCCTGGCTAATTTTTTCTGTGTGTGTATTTTTAGTGGAGACGGGGTTTCACCGTGTTAGCCAGGATAGTCTCGATCTCCTGACCTCGTGATCCGCCCGCCTCGGCCTCCCAAAGTGCGGGGATTACAGGCGTGAGCCACCGCGCCCGGCCAACCAACACACTTAATAACCAGATTGTCTTTTTGTCTGGGAGTCGTGATTTCTGTTGTTTCTGTCTTCTGTGGTTTTTTTGTTTGTTTGTTTTAATTATATGTAAAGACAGGGTCTTTATATGTTGTCCAGGCTGGTTGCGAACTCCTGGGCTCAAGTGATCCTCCTGCCTTGTCCTCTCAAAGTGCTGGGATTACAGGCATGAACCACCGCACCCAGCCGGTCTCCTGTCTCTTGAGAGTTGATATCCCCACCTCCCGGCACTCCCTAGTCCCTTCCCTGACCCCAGGGGCCTACAGAACCCACTGTCCCTCTTTCAGGGACAGGAATGAAAGATGCTGATGTTGAGAGAACCTGGGAGACTGGGAGGAGGGTGTGCTCTCATCTTTCCCAGCATGTCTTGGTGGGGGCCACAGCTGGATTGAGCTATTTGGGAAGAGGCAGACCTGGTGGTGCCTGTGTGTCCCCCCACCGCAGAGAGAAGGGCCGTAAGGAGAGGGAGTCCCTTCAGCAGATGGCCGAGGTCACCCGCGAGGGGTTCCGCCTGAAGAAGATCCTTATTGAGGACTGGAAGAAGGCGCGGGAGGAGAAGCAGGTAAGAAGCCCGCGGGGGCTGCCGCAGGGTGATCTGGGCCTCGAGGCCTCGTAGCATGGGCCTGCAAGGCTGGGGAGGGGTTTGGCCCTGACTGTTGTTCTGGGGCAAGTGACTGCCTTTCTGAGCTTTGCTTTCTCCGTTGTGTGCTAGGCGTTTAGTCATTGGCTAAGTATAATAGTTCCTAAATGGAAGGCTGTCGGCTTTATCAGGGCCTTGGACATCAGACTAAAGCAGGCTAGAAGGGCCTGGCTGCCTCCTGGGGACGGGAGGGGTGCTCCTCTGTATCCCGGATCTGTGGCGCCATTTCCTGTAAGATGGGCTGATGTTAACAAGATAACGTCAGCCAGTAGCAGCCGGATTAATTCCGTAGGGTGGGTTCTTTGGGGTCCCTAGGCATGTGTCTCTCCCTGCCTTGCCTGTGTACTGGACGGAGGCTGGAAACCGACCTGGATCTGCCTCAAGGGATTCATTGCTAGCGGGAGGGACAGACAGCCAGGGCTGCTGGACAAAGGAAATGTGGGGTACACTTCTTGCCCAGTTCCTCTCCCTCTCTGTCATGGGGGCAGGAGGCAAGGAAGGCTTCTTGGAGGAGGAGGCCTCTATCCCAGATGAAATCTGTTGGGTAATTTGGAGTTAGCCAGGTAGAGTGTTCCAGGCTGAAGGAACAGCATGTTTGAAGAACCGGAGGCAGAAGAGCGTTTGGGGGTCTGCCTGTTGTCAGGGCAACTGGGTTCTAGTAAGATAGGGATGGGGCAAATGGGGCTGGAGAATCAGCCAGGGGCCCGATTACCTGGGGCTTTGCGGGCTACATTGAGGCGTTTGGGCTTCTCTCCAGAGGGCTGCAGGGAAGCCCAGCTTGGGAGAGAGACCCATCTTGGTGTGTATTTTGCGACATCCCCCTGCTGCCCTATGGCGTAGAGGCGGGGAGGCAGTAGTCAATGAGGAGGAGGCAGAACCGAGGAGAGCCGGTCTCTTGCCTTCTGCCCACCCAGAAAAAGCTCACTGAGCTCCAGGCTGGGAAGAAGTCTCTGGAGGACCAGGTGGAGATGCTGCGGACAGTGAAGGAAGAAGCCGAGAAGCCAGAGAAAGAGGCCAAAGAACAGCACCAGAAGCTGTGGGAAGGTACGGCGTAAAGCGGCCAGAGGACTCACCTGCAGCTCCTGGGTGGGCGGCGTCTGGGCCCGGGAGCCTCTCGCTCATTATCTGCTGTCAGTTTCAGCAGATTTTTGATCCTGGTGTCCATTGCCTTGTGTGCTTTGAGGTTCGCTTGGACTGTGGCATATGTCAGGAGCCTCCTTTTAAAAAATTGTTTAAATAATTTTTTTTTTGAGACAGCGTCTCCCTCTGCCACCCAGGCTGGAATACAGTGGCGTGATCTCAGCTCACTGCAACCTCTACCTCCCAGGTTCAAGCAATTCTTGTGCCTCAGCCTCCTGAGTAGCTGGAATTACAGGCACCTGCCACCACATCTAGCTAATTGTTTTGTATTTTTAGTAGAGATGGGGCTTCACAATGTTGGCCAGGCTGGTCCCGAATTCCTTACCTCAAGTGATCTACCTGTCTCGGCCTCCCAAAGTGTTGGGATTACAGGCGTGAGCCACCACGCCTGGCCGCCTACATCCTTTTAACATCAACGTAGATTTTGTTATTTGACTTTAGCAAGACTTTATTTAATCCAGTGACCATTTTTCCTATCAAGTGTTTGGTATTTTTCTTCACTAATCGTAAGAGCTTTTTCTTGGCCAGGCGCCGTGGCTCACGCCTGTAATCCCAGCACTTTGGGAGGCCGAGGCGTGCGGATCACGAGATCAGGAGATTGAGACCGTCCTGGCTAACACAGTGAAACCCTGTCTCTACTAAAAGAAATAAAAAAAAATTAGCCAGGCGTGGTGGCGGGCACCTGTAGTCCCAGTTACTCGGGAGGCTGAGGCAGGAGAATGGCGTGAACCTGGGAGGCAGAGCTTGCAGTGAGCCTAGATCGTGCCACTGCACTCCAGCCTGGGCAACAGAGCGAGACTCCGTCTCAAGAAAAAAAAGAAAAAAATACAGCCAGGTGCAGGGGCTCACGCCTATAATCCCAGCACTTTGGGAGGCTGAGGCAGGCGGATCACGAGGTCAGGAGATTGAGACCATCCTGACCAACATGGTGGAACCCATCTCTACTAAAAATACAAAAATTAGCTGGACATGGTGGTGCGTGCCTGTAATCCCAGCTACTTGGGAGGCTGAGGCCGGAGAATCCCTTGAACCAGGAAGTTGGAGGTTTCAGTGAGCCGAGATTACGCCCCTGTATTCCAGCCTGGCAACAGAGTGAGACTCAGTCTCAAAACAAACAAACAAACCAAAAATTAGCTGGGCGTGGTGGTGTGTGCCTGTGGTCCCAGCTACTCGGGAAGCTGAGGCAGGAGAAGCGCTGGAACCCGGGAGACAGAGGTTGCAGTGAGCTGAGATCTCGCCCCTGCACTCCAGCCTGGGTGACAGAGCAAGACTTCATCTAAAATAATAATAATAAAAGAGCTTTATCTATCTGGGGTTTGCCCTTTTGTCTACAACTGAAAATTTTTAAAAATTTATTTATTTTTGAGATGGAGTCTCGCTCTGTTGCCTAGGCTGGAGTGCCAATGGCATGATCTGTGCTCACTGCAACCTCCACCTCCTGGATTCAAGTGATTCTCCTGCCTAGGCTTCCTGAGTAGCTGAGATTACAGGCACCTGCCACCACAGTATTTTTAGTAGAGATGGGGTTTCACTATGTTGGCCAGGCTGGTCTCGAACTCCTGACCTCAGGTGGCCTGCTTTAACCTCCCAAAGTGTTGGGATTACAGGCATGAGCCACGACGCCCAGCTCTGTCTGCAACTGAAGATAGGATTTCCCTTCTTTGTTTTTGGTGCTAGGGCCTGGTGTTTTTTTGGCAAGGCCGCATTGCACGTAGAGCGGGAGTTCACTGGCTCTGTCTGCCCCTGAACCTTTGCCGTGCTGCGAGCTTCCTTTCACGTGGGTGTGGGCAAGCTCAGGCCTGATTTTCCTCAGGACGTGTTCTCAGCGTGCAGCTGTGGAATCATAGGGAAGCGCCGTGTTTTGACCCAGATTCCCAAAGGGTGGCGGGGCTGAGCCAGGGCTCCGAGGGCAGATGGCCTGGTTTGGGCCCCAGGCTACACCTCTCCCTGGCTGGGTGATGATGGGCAGGTCCCTTCACCCATGGAAAGGTCAGGGACCCCTCAGGCCCTCATCTGTGAGACTCAGAACAGTGTCAGCCGGGTCTCCCTGGACATGTGGCATCTCCTGGGGTGACCCAGGACTCTCTAGAGGAAATACCCGCTGTTTTTATTCTGTTCATGGAGAACCAAGCTGGAGCTTGGTATACAGTGGGAAGTGAATCCTGGTATACAGTAGGCAGTTAATCATTGGAGCCACTGTTGTGGCTGTTTCCCCCTGTGCTTAGGTTAGAAGAGTAACGACAGATAAAGGAGGGACTTTTGGGACAGAGGCTCAGTCCCCTTCTGTCCGGCTGGCCACTCTTCCTGGGACTGGCCCTGGGGATCCCCAAGATGCCCCCAGGACTGGTCTCCCTCCCGTATCCTCCCCATCTCCCAGCGTCCTTGGCCATGAAGTCTCATTCCTGCCAGCCCTGCCCCTGACATGCCTCTGCCAGGTCCTAAACCTAAAGTCTCAGCGGCCGCTCTCCTCTCCCCAACCCCATCTCCCATCTCTGACCGTCTGCACACCCCATGCGCGTCTCCCCAGAATCTTCCTCTGCTCCGTGCTTCTTCCTCGGCCCGCAGCCTGGGCCATCCCTTGTTGTCACCTGGCTTCCGCCCTCGCCCCCACCTCTGTCCCAACAGTGGCCTGACAGGGCTGCCCTCTGCCACCTGGCTTCCCACCTCCTTGCTCCAGCCCCACGGGTGGCCCTCCCGCCCCTGCACTCCCCACCCTGCCCCAGTCTCCCCCAACACAGCCAGGCTTCAGCCAGTCACCTTGCTCCTCGTCTGTCCTCCCCCGGTAAGGGCAGGGACCTTTGTCTCCTCCACAGTCGTGTCCCCAGGGTCCAGCATGGGACCAGGCACATAGTAGGCGCTTAGTGGCAAATGACCCTGTGGGGTGTGGGGTCGGTGGGAGCCAGTGGGTGGGCAGGGGGTGACAGAGGTGGCCTCTTTACAGAGCAGCTGGCTGCCGCCAAGGTCCAACGGGAGCAGGAGCTGGCGGCTGATGCCTTCCAGGAGCTGGATGACGACATGGACGGGACGTGAGTGTCCCCAAGTTGGAGCTGCGCCCCCTTCCGTGGGCCTAGGTTTCCCTTCCTGCCACCCTCGCCTCTAGAAACCAGCCAGAGCTCCCCCTGGGTTCCCCTGGCGTGGGGTCCAGGCTGATCCCAAGCCCCGCGTGACCCTGCCTCTTACTCATGGATGGCTGGGTCCAGGATGCCCTGGGCGAGGAGATAGGGGGACCACCTTCTCCCCAGGAGCTGGGCACAGACCCTCAGCCTCAGGAAGTGTTTTTTGAGGATTGCTTTTCTCAGCCCCACTCTACGCTCTGGGTAGAATCCTGGCTGTGCCTCTGAACTTGCTGGGTTACCTGGTGGAGGGTGGACTTTTGGGGGCTGAGGGACACACGAGGAGCCTAGGAGATGTGGGGTGCCAAGGAGCAGGGGGCTTCAGAGGGACTAAATGGGCAGAATGGGCAAGGGTGGGGGTGGGCTTTGCTGGGTGGAGGACCAAGGTAGATGGCTTCAATGTGCCGGGTTCTGAGGATGGAAGGAGGTGCCACCTGGGTGAGTTGGGAGAGAGGTCATCAGGGATTTGGGGGTCCAGGTATCTCCCAGTCCCACCCCTTACTTTGAGCCCCTTTGGGGTCATGGAGTCCTGAGGAAGGGGCAGGAAGGCGGGGAGGCTCCTGCACCTTGAGTTCCTGAAGCAAGTTCAGGGTAGGCCCTGGCAGGGAAGAGCAGGTGGGCCACGTGGTGCCCCCAGCTGAGAGCCACTGGGGCGTCACCCCTCCAGTGTGTTTCTGCCACGCCCCCACAGGGTCTCAGTGACCGAGCTGCAGACTCATCCAGAGCTCGACACAGATGGGGACGGGGCGTTGTCGGAAGCAGAAGCTCAGGTACCTCGGCTGCCCCTTGGCTGGGGACTTCTGGAAGCATTGCCCCAGGGTGACCTCAGGGCACAGGAGGGGAACCAAGGGAAGCTCCCTGCTGGCCTGGGACGCCTCCTCTGGGTGAGCTGGGATGGATGGCAGCCACTCAGGGCTGCTTCCCACCTGGCAGGACCCGGGATGGAGCCAGGTCGGGCTGGAGCCCGTTTCCCCCGCCTGCCCGCACTCTCCCTGCTGTTTGAGCACCCAGTCCCCTTTCTCCCCTATCCCTGTCCTGCCCTATTTCCCTCCCCCGGATTCCCCTCCTCCCCACCCCCATCTTCCGCAGTCCATCTCCTTTCCTATTCCCCTCCTTCCTTGTGGCCCCTGGCTTTTTGCCTCCCTTCTCTGCCCTCCCCTGAGTTTCTCCCTGTCCCTCTGCAGCCTTGGCCTTGGCCTGTCCCTTGGAGGGCCTGGCCCTCTCTGATCCTGGGCTCTCTCTTCCTCCATCTGTACGTCCGTTGTCCGTCCATCCGTCTGTCTGCCTCTCTCTTTCTGTCTCAGTGCCCCCAGCCACTCCAACCCGCGGCCCCCTCCTCCCCTCCCACGGGCCTGTGCTGCCCCCTCCTGGCCGCAGTGCCTCAGTGGCGTGGCCCCGGCCTGGTCATAAGGGCCCAGGGCCCAGCCCTCCCGTGCCTGGCACCACAGTGCGGGTGCCTGGGGTGGCCGGGAAAGGGGACACGTGGCGGCCTAGATCTTGACACCACCCCCAACACACACAGGCCCTCCTCAGTGGGGACACACAGACAGACGCCACCTCTTTCTTCGACCGCGTCTGGGCCGCCATCAGGGACAAGTACCGGTCCGAGGTCAGTGGAGGGAAAGGGAGGGGACTTGGTCCTCCTCCGACACTGGCCCCACCCCGCCTCACAAAGGAGCTGCCTCCAGTTCTGGCACCCGGCCACCCTGGCCAGCTGGGCGGCCCCAGCACCCCCACCGAGGCCCCCCCACCTCAGCTGTCGGTCCTCCCTGCAGGCCCCGCAGGAGGGGCAGAGACGCCGAGGCTGCCCCTTGGGCTGTGGTGTGAGCCTGAGGGTGTGGGTGGACCCTGAGTCCATAGCACCGACCACGCTGCTCACCCGCCAGGCACTGCCCACTGACCTTCCAGCACCTTCTGCCCCTGACTTGACGGAGCCCAAGGAGGAGCAGCCACCAGTGCCCTCGCCACCCACAGAAGAGGAGGAGGAGGAGGAGGAAGAAGAGGAGGCTGAAGAAGAAGAGGAGGAGGAGGAGGATTCCGAGGTGCAGGGGGAGCAGCCCAAGGTCCGTGTTTGGGGGAGACGGGGAGACAGAGAGGGTGGGGGAAGGGCTGCTCACTGACCCTGCCCCTTCCCCAGGAGGCCCTGCTGCCACTGGCACCCCCGCAGCCGGCCAGCCCTGCCGAGGAAGACAAGATGCCGCCGTACGACGAGCAGACACAGGCCTTCATCGATGGTGAGGGCGGGCGGGGGCCGGGCTCCGCGGGTGAGCCCAGCGTTTCCTGCCGTGGTGGCGTAGATCAGGGGAGATCCTGAGCTCAGCCCCTGCTCTGACTCGGCCAGCACACGCCCCAGTATCTTGGGGAGTCCAGGAAGGGGGCCTGGGGTAAGCCAGTCCCACCCTCGCCAACCCCAAGGGGCCCTTCTGCCTCCCCGAGGGCCGCAGCTTGTTTGTGTCGCTCCTGGCGGGCCCCAGGAGCCCTGGCCCCAGTCCCTCCAGAGCTGCGAGCCTGGGCAGCAAGTCGGGGCTGTTCGTAGCTGGTGAGGGCCTCAGGTCCGTCTGGGCAAAGCCCTTGGCCAAAGCAAAATCAGCTTAGAGGAGGACACAGCCGCATCCGTGGAACCCCGTTCCCCATCCTCCTGGGTGGGGGTGAGGCCGTCTCTGACCTCCAACCCCCCCCCAGCTGCCCAGGAGGCCCGCAACAAGTTCGAGGAGGCCGAGCGGTCGCTGAAGGACGTGGAGGAGTCCATCAGGTAGCGGGGGCTGAGGAGGCGGGACACCCGTCCCACAGTGCCTGCTCCCCGGCTCCCAGGGGAGCCAGTCATGGGGAATCACTGGGGCAACCGCAGGCTGGGCCTGGCCCCTGCAGGGAGGGTTCTCCGGAGGTGGCAGGGAGGACAGCCTGGGCACCACAGCTCACCCAGGCCCTCCTGTGTCTGTCGTCCTGGGGCAGGCGCTGGCGTCCCCAGCTGCCCTTTAACCGCTCCGCCTCCACTTCCAGGAACCTGGAGCAAGAGATTTCTTTTGACTTTGGCCCCAACGGGGAGTTTGCCTACCTGTACAGCCAGTGCTACGAGCTCACCACCAACGAGTGCGTCCCAGGGGTGCAGGGGCGCCCACCGGCGGGGTGGGAGGCGGGTGGCCCCGGAAGCGGCACCGGCAGTTTCCTGATGGTTGGGGAACCACCTGCAGGGTGGGGCCTGAGCGCTGCCCTCCATATTGAGGGGGAGCAGAAGCGGGCTTAGGGTTGGTGATTGGAGTTGGAGGTGCCCTGTGTATGGGGACAGGAGGAGGTAGGGAGGGGCTGTGGGAGGAGGCTGGGATCCCTACATCCCCCCCACCCATATTCCCTGGTCCCCAGGTATGTCTACCGCCTCTGCCCCTTCAAGCTTGTCTCGCAGAAACCCAAACTTGGGGGCTCTCCCACCAGCCTCGGGTGAGTGTCATGGGCTGGCCCCTTCCCTCTGCCTCCTCCTGGTGCCCGACACCGGCCCAGCCCTCAGCACCGTGTGTCTCTTGCAGCACCTGGGGCTCCTGGGCTGGCCCCGAGCACGACAGGTTCAGTGCCATGAAGTATGAGCAAGGCACGGGCTGCTGGCAGGGCCCCAACCGCTCCACCACCGTGAGTGCCTGCAGGGCGGGGAGCCGGGGCGGGGAGACCCAGGCCTGGCCCAGCCGAACCCTCCTGAGCGCCCGTCTGCCCATCCCCAGGTGCGCCTCCTATGCGGGAAAGAGACCATGGTGACCAGCACCACGGAGCCCAGTCGCTGTGAGTACCTCATGGAGCTGATGACGCCGGCCGCCTGCCTGGAGCCACCGCCTGAAGCACCCACCGAAGACGACCATGACGAGCTCTAGCTGGATGGGCGCAGAGGTGGGCGGGGAGGTGGAGTCTCAGCCTGCCCCAGCAAGGGGAGGCGGCGGGCCCTGAGGAAGTTGGACCCACATGGTCACTCTATCAACCTGTGTGCCCGTGTCCCGTGCTTTTTTTTTTTTTTTTTTTTGAGGTGGAGTCTCACTCTTTTGCCCTGGCTGGAGTGCAGTGACGCAATCTCAGCTCCCTGCAACCTCCACCTCCCGGGTTCAAAAAATTCTCCTGTCTCAGCCTTCTAAGTAGTTGGGACTACAGGCATGCACCACCACGCCTGGTTAATTTTTGTATTTTTAGTAGACAGGGTTTCATCATGTTAGCCAGGATGGTCTCGAACTCCTGACCTCAGATGATCCACCTGCCTCGGCCTCCCAAAATGCTGGGGTTATAGGTATGAACCACCGTGTCCGGCCATCCCCTGCTTTTTAAAAGAAGGTTTTGTTTTGTTTTGTTTTGTTTTTTTACTTTTGAAAACAAATAGGCCAGGCGTGGTGGCTCACATCTCTAATCCCAGCACTTTGGGAGGCTGAGGCGGGCGGATCACTTGAGGTCAGGAGTTTGAGACCAGCCTGACCAACATGGTGAAACCCCGTCTCTACTAAAAATACAAAAAAATTCGCTGGGTGTGGTGGTAGGTGCCTGTAGTCCCAGCTGCTCGAGAAGCTGAAGCACAAGAATCACTTGAATCTGGGAGGTGGAGGTTGGAGGTGGAGCCAAGATCATGCTAGTGCACTCTTCAGCCTGGGTTACAGAGTGAGACTCTTTAAAAAAAAAAAAAAAAAAAAAAAAAAAGGAGAAAATGGACAAAGTCTCCAGGCTGGTCAACTCCTGGCTTCAAGTGATCTTCCCACCTCAGCCTCCCAAGCAGCCGGGCCCACAGGCAAACACCACTGTGCCCGGCTGTCCCCAGCTTTCTAATCTGGTCTTTCTCCTGCCCCAGAACCTCAAGAAGGCATGAAGCCAGCCCCTGCAGTGCCGTCCACCCGCCCCGTGTCCGGGGCTGCCTGTGGCTCTGTTGCCCTCCTCTGTGGGGGCAGGACTTTGTGGGGCTTCGTGCCCTGTCCTGGGGCCCAAGCAATGCTGGTCCACATTCCCAGGCCCCAGCGGCCTCCAAAGATGGGTAAAGGAGCTTGCCCTCCCTGGGCCCCCCACCTTGGTGACTCACCCCACCACCCCTAGCCCTGTCCCTGCCACTCCTCCTGGTGGGGACCAGTGAATGACTTGACCTGTGACCTCAATACAATAAATGTGACCCCCCACCCAAACTTGCCTGCGTTTGTCTTGCTTTGCTGGGGTGTGGACCGGGGTGTGGGCAGGGGTTGAGCGCAGGGGACGCTGCTGTCTGCAGATCCTGCCCAGGCCTCCTCCCCTGCCATGTGGGGCTCAGTCCTGAAGATACCAGATGGATGAACCCTGGACCACCTCCGTCTGAGCATCTATCCGGGCCCGTGTCCCACCCTCCCTGGGTCTCATCTGTGCTCTTTGGAGGCCAAGGGTTCCCTCCTGGGACCAAAGCCCCGGCTGCAGACAGACCCAGGCCCAGAGAAGGACAGGGGCCTGGGCACCACCACACAGGACGCCCCTGCATGCTCCCCGCGCAGCTGTGCAGAGATGACCCAAGGCCTTAAGATTCTGAACTTTTATTTTCTGGCATGAAAAGTACAAATAATTAAACAATTCCATGTAAAAGTCTGTTACCGCGGCCAGGCCTGTGATCCCGGTAATAAATAGTCTAAACGCAACGCGAAATGTTCTTGTTGGGTTTTTTTTTTTTTTTTTGTCTTCTGTTTTGTCTTTTTTTTTTTTTTTTTTTTACAGTTTTTTATCACCTCCAACATGGACTCTGTCGTGATTTGAAACCTTCCGAATAAATAACAGGATGAAGGGAGGGGTGGAGGGGCTGAGCCCCCTCCCCCCCTGGCCTGGCCCCTGCCCCCCAGGGACGTGGAAGACCCGAGTCCCCCTCCCCTGGGAGCCCTGGCCTGGCCCCCTGCGGGGAGGTGCTGGCCTCCAGGGAGGGGGCCTGGCTGGGCTGAGTTTTGTGTTTTAGAAAAAGAAGTCCCCTCCCAGTCTTGGGGGCAGCAGGGGCCTAGGCCTCGGTGGGGGGGGTGTGTGGGGAGGTGCCCCCTCTCTGGAGCCTGGCCCCCCCCAGGGTGGGGGACAAACCCAGCCCTTATTGCTCGGACGCCCTGCTGCAAGCTTCCCACGCAGACATGCGTGTTCCCGAATGCAGAGGGCGGAGGGGAGAGAGCCCCAAGGGACAGCAGGGGAGAGGGGTCCCTGCCCTGCTGGCGGGGAGAGGGGAGAGGGCAGGGAGGACTTAAAACCACAAGAATAAATAGGTTTGTGTATCAAGAACAAGCTAGGGATTTCACCAGCTAAATAGGACTGAAAAAATTCTCAAGACAAGAGCAAAAAGAATCCCATGGATGACCTGGACGTCGCTGGCCGTGGGGACTGCCCCGCAGAGCACACGCCCCCACGTGCCACTCGGCTACCATTACTGTTATTAATAATTATTATTACTTTAATGATTCCACTTCCCCTTTTATAAATAAATTAGGCATAACCATGTCTCGGCAAAACTTAAAGAAACAAAGAGAACATTGTCGTTCCTTTGACTTGCAAACCGGATGAAGTAACAGAAATATACACGGATGTCCTTACAGGGCAACGAGGAGAATAAATAGTTAACATAGCAATAAGTTAAAACTACAAGAAGCTAAATTCAGCAAAAAAGTACAAGAAAGTTAACTGGTGCCAGTTTATGTCTTTTTTTTTTTTTCCTTTTTTTTTTTTTAATCTCTTCTGTGTGTTTTCTTTTTTTGTTGCTTTTTTTTTTCCTCTTCTGTTTGTGTTTTTTTGTCGCTTTTTTGATTTTTTTTTCGTTTTTGTTCCTTGCAGCAGAAGCTCCACAGACGTTTAATAACAACACCGGGAGGGGTGGGGGAGAGAGAGCTGGACAGTCAGATGGGGGGCGCCATAGCCAGACACCAAACGTGGGGACACCGGGGGAAGGCAACTTAACTATAGCTATAAGTCGGGGTTTTGCAATTCTCAGTTCCGATGGGGCCACTGAGGCTGGTGGGGAGCGGTGCGAGGGCTCCCAGGGGCTCCGGCCTGTGGCTTCTGTTGGAATTTTTTTTTTTTTTTTTAAAGAAAGAAAACTAGGGCGATGCAATGTCCAGACAGAAGCCGGGGGCCGGGGCTCGAGATCGGGGGCTGTGTCCACTGCAATCTGGAAAGACGAAAAACCCAACAAACCGAAAGGGGGTAGGTAGGTGACAAGTGGACGGGAAAGGAGTGTGGGGCTGGGCCCTTGGGCCCGTCCACCCCACCCTGGGCCTGGCGGGGAGTGCCGGGGGGCTTGCTGCTGGGTAGGCCCAGTCCTGGTGGGGGAGGCTCAGGACTGGGCCTCTCCCTCAGCTGCGTGGGTCAAGGCCTCGGCCCAGGGGGAGGCTGAGCCCCAGGGACAGGGGTGTCCTTTGGCCTCAAGTGTTGTGGGGGGGGGCTGCCTCCAGCCCACCGTGCGCCAAGGTGGAACGAGGTATCGTGTGTCTCAATGCATGTGCGCTGCGTGTGCACGCCTGTGTTCGTGGGCGCCAAGGAGACCACTGGGGGTCCAGGAGAGATCTCTGCAGAGAACCTGGGGGCCAGGGCAAGGGGGCCAAGAGGGTGAGGGAGCGTCTGGGGCGGGGTCTGGGGTGGGACCTCCTGCCTGGGCCTATGGGATGCTGTGGGCATATGTCTGCGTGTTCCTGGGTGGTGTCTGTGTTTCTCTGTGTTCTCTGTGACCTGGTGTCC